ACATCTACTTACGTTTATTCTACTCAGGTAGGAGTTTAGCCTGCTGCAGTATCCAGCAGTGAGAAAATATGATTATTTCTAGGTACTTTATTAGGTTTTTTTTTATAATTTCGCATTACAAATATTTTCAATTAGGCTTATTGTTAACAAAAACTTTTCCATTTAACTTAACATTAGAGTAATTCTTCCTCTGATTTGCGCTTGCGCTTTTTCAGCTTCTGCTTCGTGTCCGCCACTTTACCGCGCATCAAATCCGCCTTTAAACGCTTTGCCGATTTTTTACGCTCTTGTGTAGCAGCCTTTCGTTTCGCTGCACGCAGTGGATCGTGTATCTTCTCTTGGGCGAGCAATTTTTTGCGTTCAGCGCGCCTGCGCATCAGATTTGTTTGGACATGTGTGCGCAATTTGTCGTAAACATCAGCTCCAATACGTTTGCGCAAGCGGCTGCCTACGCGCAGAGCTTGCTGACGCAAATCAGTGTCAATATTTTGATCCTCTTCAGACATCTCGCGAACCAGCGAACCGAGTAGTAGAGGAGCCAATCTTTCCAGCGTTTCAACACTCAGCAGTGTGATTAGCCCCTCGATGAGCGTGAAAAGTGCAGAGCGCTGTAAGGTACAAAGTGGAAAATTAGATTCTAAATTTGACTCTTTGTACACACTTACCACTGCGGTGGCATGGGGGGTCTTCGTCACCTCCCGGTTAATCAGAAAGCGTATATTCCGTACTAGCCAGTACAAATTAATTTTTGTACCCGTCTCTTTTTCTAGTATCTGTTTCGTGTCAGCGTTCTCCGTTTGCTCCGCTGCATCATCCTCCTTTTTCTCCTGCTTAACACTAAAAGGCACGTCACGCAATATATTTCCTATAAAAAGAAAGATCTTAACAATTTCATCTATCATATTTTGTTGCGTTTCGCCCGGCACGACTTGCGCGCACAAATCCAACACCAATGATTTGATATCGTAAGTGGGATTGGTATAAATAAAATCGAAGTTCGGCACATTTGCGTCGTTGCTATTGCCGTTTGTGTAAGCCGCCGATGCCTGTTGCTCCTTAGCTAGTTGCGCGCCAACACGCGTATAGTCATAGTTGGCCAAAATTAGTGCAATAATCTTTGCTGCGTTGCAACGCACCCATGCGTGCTCATGCGCAAGCAGTTTCTGTGATTCATAAGCCAGCTCATCGATTACATGGCTGAGTTCGCTATTGTTGCCACTCAGTAACTCCGCAGAGCAATAGTCTAACATTTTTAATAGACAATATTGAATTTGAATGATTTCATGATCGATGGCGCGCTGGCGTTCCTCAGCCGTTTTGGCTACTTCCTCCTCTGTGAGAATTATTTCGTCAAATTTCTTGCCACCATGGTCATTCGGGTGTTGCTGTACAAGAGAGAATGTTACATTTTAGGTCGGTTAAGCTAATGATTAACGGGTTATTAAATTACTTTCTTACATGGTACTTTCTGCGCTTCTTGAGCTTCTCCTCATCCACGTCGTATCCCAGCGCTGTAGGTGCGCGCACAAACCTTCCAGGCGCACTCGGATTATTTAGAGTGAGTCGCGCAACAATTGTTGGAAGCACCAGCTTGAGCCGCGGGGCAAACGATTGTTTTTCAGCGTTTAGAAAGCGTGAGCACAGCGATGCTGCCATTTCCACCACAGATGGATTGTTGCCCGGTTCAAAGAATAGAAGTGTCATGTCGAATAAGCGCTGTCGATCGACCTTTTCCAAACGCATGATCAACAGCTCAATGCATTCGGCGATTGCTTTGCGGCAGCCAGGATCATCATCGTTGACCAAACGTGGCCCAAGTGAAATGTAAAGGAACTCCGCCCGCTTTGATAGCATCTTCAGCGGGAATTTCTTGATTAATGTATGGAGAAATTTAATAACTGATTGGCGTCCCGAAGGCAGCGAATAGCGCAACTGTACTGTGAAGAATTTCACAATCTGATCGACACGCTTCTTCAGCGGATATTCCATGATGTAGACGACAAGTATGCTGCGCGCCTCGTCGCGTACAAAGTCGGACTGCGAAACGACCGACAAGTCGCCAATGCGCTTCATTATTTGGTGCAACGACTCAGCCTCAACGTGCCTGCCAATTAGCGCTTTAAGCAACGAAAATGATAACGCCTGATGTTCGCCTTCAAACAAGTTTTGTTCTACATACAGCACCAGTTGCTGGAGTTGCTCCGGTGACAGCTCGTAGGCGGTGCATTTACGCAATAAAGCCACAATAGCTTTGTAAGAAGATTTCACCAGCTGCAAGTTTTCGTCTTGCTTTATAGCGCCGAAAGTCGAAATATTCTTCAATATTTCAAACATACGCTCCACCACGTCGCACAGATATTGTTGTTGTAGTGCCGGTAACTCGTAAGCATCATTCCATATGGCAGCAAAGCATTTCAGCGCAAAGGTCACCACGCGTACATGCGTGCTCTTCAGCGCATCGCGCAACAGCGGCAGCAATGGATTCAAGAATGGCTGATAGTCCACCTCTAGCAGCTTCTTGCGCTTCAACACGATTTGCAGCAGTTCCAGGCCGAACTCTATGAGAACATGCGCATTGGCTTGCGCGTTAGATTGCACACGCTTGTTGATGGCACCGGAACGAAAGCGCGGCGGCGGCTGTATGATGAAGCAGTCGGGGCGTGCGCGACGCATATACTCCTTCTCCTGTTCAGTGAGAGAACGCTTTTTCGTTCCTGGCAACAGATCAGTGATGCTCTCCGAAACAGTGCCGTAAATGAAGATCAACAAACTCTCGCGCGAGATGTGCGCATTCTCCGCCAAACCGCTGACGATCTTAGCAAAGCAGTCCTGTATTTTCAGCGTAACTTTGCGCGAGTGCGAGCGCGTTAGGTGCTCCTTGAATGGCATAAGTAGATCAAGCAAGCAAGTGTCTTGAATATTGCGCGCCAGGATGTGCAATACGAGGTAGCTTTTGGCGCTTGGTTTTGCTTCCGGCGTGTGTGCTGTTAACTTGTCGATTTCCTTCTCAGCATTAATATCACCGAAAATGTCATTTAAAGCTACATCGAGCAAGTTGTGCAGACAGCTCTCCACATCGGCAGGCTGGAATTTCTCACGCAGAGCATCCAATACACCATGTACGGTGACAGCGAGCACATGAACTTGGAAGCCGCGTGTTAGCAGCGATTGCAGATGATCCATTAGCATTGAAAGGTAGCTGGCACCAAGAGTGAGCATAATTTTCTTGAGAATGTCACGCGTAAGCATGCGCACGGACTTCAAGGGCGAACGCAAAAAGGTGCATACTTTCATGAAAACGCCTGGAAGAAAATAAATTCATAATCAAATGATGAAATTGACACCACACACACAGAGCATTAAACTGTAGGGGCTATTGCTGACTTAATAATAGTATTTTGCCGGAGCGAAAGCGGACCGTGATCGGCACTATGGTGTGGATGGGGCCTTCATAGGCCAATCGCGAATACAAGCTATACTAGCAAGGAGAAAATTGAAAAAAATCCGTCTGGCCACCCATTTTGCAGGAGCAATCTCTTCGTTATTCCCATAACCATAGCATTGGCATTTCTCCTCTAATCATGGAGGTGAGTACCTTTCATAAACAAGGCAAAAAAAAACTCTGCAAATATTTATTTGTGCGATCAGATTAACGTTGTAAGTCCTTAAGCGGTAGAGAAAGTGACCAAATCACTACTAGATATATTGATATAGAGGTATGCACTGCGACCAAGAGATTTATTGCAACTTCAACCATTCATAGTACCTCATATAACCCTAGAGATCCCAGAAATTTGAAAAGATTTGCAGGGGTCAGCGATTGTATGAATTCCACACTTGGCCCGAATTTACTCAAGGTACCTCTCTCGTCTCCTTGCAACCGCCTTGCACACGCGAAGCAGGTGTAAAGGAGTCTCCACGATCGATTCACAGAAACGACATAGGTCGTTCGACCTGAACCCTAGCTTGTGCAGGAGACCCCTTAGTCTACATTGGTCTGTACCTTGTCATGGTTGTAGCCTCCCAGTAGGCATTTAGCCTGGCGTAGACCTACGGTGTTATGCAAGTATTGTTCTCTGAGTCTGTTCCTCTCCTTTCTGAGCTCTACATTGATTGTGCTAGGTCCGCTTGCAAGGAATGGCTCATGCCTTATAGGAAATGCGGGGGGCCGCTGTTCTAGCTGGACGGTATGCTTCGTTGTTACCCTTAGGTCCTATGTGACCAGGTACTCAAATTAGTTGGATATCATGTGCTCCGCCAGGACATTCAGCCCATCAATGCACTCAAGAACCAAGGAAGATTTGAACCTCAAATTATGAAAGGGCCTCACTTTTCTCACTACCGTAATTCCTTCTAAGGTTGATCAATGCCATAGAGCTCCGCCCGAAATACTATACTTGGGTATGCTCCCATGGGCACCGAGAGCTTCAGCGTTGGTCCGTAAATACCTGTTCCACAGCCGTGTGGAGTTTTGGAGCCGTCTGTATACCATTGCAGCGAGCCAGCTTCTATGTTTCTCCAAAAAAGAGGTGCTCTAAGTTGCCTTGTTGCAAAGCTCAGCCTTGAATTTCCTCTCAAAGTCTATTATTTGGGCTTATCATCTCTGGGGAACAAAGCGGTTCCTTCCAGGTTTTACTTTTGCCAAAGCCTGCTCTTGTGAAGTATAGTAGCGTTCGCTTTTCTATCTGTTCTAAAGGATTGCCTTACCGTGGATAGGATGATTCTGGAGTCCCAAGTGACCGCCCCATATGTGACTATCATGGTATACATCCATCTCAGGATCTTGGGACTGCAGCCCCAAGTCTTGCCTACCAAACATTTGCACACCATTAGTTTCCTCGTATCTTTGGAAGTGATCGCGTTGACATACGCATTCCACAGAAGTTCGGAATCCAGTGTAAAGCCTAGATACTTAACTTCGGTGGCGACCCCATTCAAAGTAACGGTCCTCATACCTGGAAGTATTCCTCTTCTCGAAAAGGGGAAAATAACTATTTTGGAGAGGTTGATGTTTAGACCCAGCCTCTTGCCAGGTTTTAACTATATCATATAGTACTCACGAACTTTCCTCTATCGATATCAGTGAAAAACTGTAGGAGTTCGTCTACAACTAAGTTCTACAGGAGAGGGGATAACACTCCTCCCTGCGGGCAACCTTTTGTCGTTTGTAGCTGTACCACGCTGTTTCCGATGTCGGTTTCAGCTATCCGAAAGGTGTTATCAAAATACGCCTCTATATCGATGAAGGCAAAGAGTATTGTTTCCCCAAACTCGAGGGCGCATTGTACTTCCGTAGACAGGTCATACAGTGCAGTGTCCGTGGACCTACCCAGTCTGTATGCATGTTGGTCAGGATGCAAAGGTGCCTGTTTCAGAGAGTTGTTCCTGATTTCATGTTCGATAAATTTTTCCATTGCCTCTAGCAGGAAGGAGGTTAGATGAATACTAACCTATAGTTCAACGGAAGCAGGGTAGCATAGCCAAAACACTTAAGACGCCTATCACTCGCCCAAAGACGTCAATCTGGCAACGTTCGTACTGTGCGGTCACTTAAACTTTCGCTTGAAAGAATTTCCAAAGTTTAACTCGTTTACAAAGTGCTAAGCAGTTCTAATTTGTGTTATTCACACCGTAAAAAGTTTACTGAAGCCAAATTCCAATAAATTGACTTGATTTAGTCATAAAGTGCGTTGATTGAAAAGTTTTATTTAGTCGGCCTTCGTGCATATTTGCCTGTTTTGGTGCATTATTGTTGCTTTTGCGTGAGAGTGTAAGGAATATCGCATTTGTTTGTTCATTTTGCTTTCTTTCGCGCTTTACACACACCTTTGTTTATCATCGACAGTCGCTTTCTTGGTGACAGCTGATTTTGTTAACTCAGTGGCTTTAAAACTGTTAAGTTCAGCACGGTTTCTAACCATTGAACTTCACTAAATAAGACCACTAGCTATTAAACTGCCAATTACTGTGAGCTTGAAACGTTTTCGTACAATACATTCCTAATTTCGCTATTTTTATTCTTTTTTAATAAAATTCGCTAAAAATGTCCTGTCTGTTCGAAAAATGTAATGTAAAAGCCGGTTCGGACCGTTTTGTGGCGTGCTGGCTTTGCGATGAACTGTCTCATTTAAAGTGTGCTGGTATTAATGGGAGAGTTCTGGATATGATTATTGGAGACAATGGACTTCGCTGGTCATGTCCAAAGTGTAAAAAAACTGTTGTGGATCTCTGTAAACTATTTAGAACCGCTAGAAATGGATTTTCGGAGATAAGCAAAGAGCTAAAACTGCTCAACGAGAAGTTCAAGAAGTATGAGGATGAATTCAAAGAATTTAAATTATTAGATACTTCCTCCTCCTCTCCTTCTCCTGGAAAAGGTCTTAAGAGACGTAGGAGAGGCGTGGAAAATATTGTGTTGAATCCCATCACTGTGGACCTGGATCTTCCGCAGAACCGCCCACTTTTGACTCCAGCTATGAACAAAGAACTCATAAGCTTTAACACACCGATTCCTCGGCGGACTGAATCTCCCCAACCACGTCCTTCTTCTACTGGAGCCTCACTAAATTCCTGTTCAACAGCTTCATCTCAACCCTCCACCACATCTGAAGCCATCTCCGATTGCGTCAACACCGTTCCAATGCAAGTAGTCGTTGCTCCTTCCAAAAACTCCACAACTACATCTCAACCCCCTACCACATCCGAAGCCATCGTTGCTCCTTCCAAAAAGTTGACAGCTGTTCCGCAACCCCCCTACCACATCTGAAACCGTTTCCGATTGCGTTAACCCCGTCCCGAGGGATTTAATCGTTGTCCCTTCCAAAAAATCGGTCTTTATATCTAGGTTTTCAAAAGATACCACTGTCGATGATGTGAAGGGGTATTTAACTTCCAGGCTGATAGCAAATGAGTTGCATGTACGCAAGTTCAGATTCTCGTATGAAAGAAGCATTTCTTCTTTTAAAATAGACATATCCGAAGACTGCTTTGATAGAGTAATGAGCCCATCTTTTTGGCCAAGCGGTGCCTTCATTCGCGAATTTGAATTTAGATCTAGACCGCAAGGGCAAAATTTGGCTCAACTTCCGCTTTCCACCTCGGCATCAAAAAACTAATAAGTAACCTCACCATTAGCATTTACTACCAAAATGTGAGAGGTTTGAACACAAAGCTATCAAGGTTACACTTGCAGTCCTATGATTTTGACTTCAAAGTACTGGTGTTTACTGAAACCTGGCTCAAGCCGAATGTGTTCAACTCGGAAATTTTGTGTCCTAAGTATGAAGTGTTTCGAAACGACCGTTTAAATAAAAAAGGTGGAGGCGTCTTAATCGCTGTCCAGACTGACCTTTCTTCTGAAGAAATTGAGTTCACTGACACCGATGAAGTTGAATTCCTCTGCGTTCGAATAAGATATCATTCTATTAGCGTTTATCTTGTTGCTGCTTATATACCACCTAACTCGAGCCTTTCTGTTTATTTAAAACACTCCTCCTTACTGCTCTCTCTACATGCCATGGTGAAGCCCTCCGATACTGTTATTGTCCTGGGTGACTTCAATCTTGCGGGTGTTTCTTGGGATCTAATAGATGGTATTCTAGTACCAAATTCCTCTCGTGATCTCTTCAATCAATTTTTGAACGATCTGTCAGATCTTAGTCTTTACCAGATCAACTCTGTTAGTAATAACTTAGGTAAATGTCTGGATTTAGTTTTTGTGGACGATGTTTCCAACGTCACAATAGCCCCTAGCTATGCTTTGATTACCCCTGTTGATTCTCACCACCCACCACTAGAATTGTCCTTGATAAATTCACGCAACTCATGTTGCTTTATCAGTAAAAAATCAAGAGCGGAGCGTTACTCATTTAAAACAGCAGATTATAATAAACTTAGGTTAGAGATATCGAAGATAACTTGGCCCCAGTATGATGGGAATGCTGAAGATAGTGCCTTACATTTTAGCAATTCCTTACGCCACATTTTCAGTAAAATCATTCCTCTTGTTAAGGAAGCTAACGTAACGTCTAACGCTCAGTGGTTTACTGGCGAATTGAAACGCTTAAAAAATCAAAAATCCAAAGCATTTAAGCTTTTTAAAAAATCTGGCTTGTCTTCTCACTACTCCGCGTACTCCATTCTTAGGCATAAATACAATGTATTGAACAAAAAGTGTTACAATAATTATATTAACAGGGTTCGACTCAATATAGTTTCTAATCCCAAATCGTTTTACGCATTTGTGAACACAAAGCGTAAGACTAACGGTTATCCCTCAACATTGAAGTTAAATGACTTAGTTTCCAGTGACGAAAATATTATTGCCGATATGTTTGCTGGTTTCTTCGAGTCAAACTACTCTGCCAGTTCTACATCTTCCCAACTGAATTCGAATCTATCTAGCTACCCATTCGATCTGCCATCATTTGATTGTATCCGAATTCCATCGATATCTGCTGCGGACGTCCTCATTCATTTGAATTGTTTGAAAATTTCATATACAGCTGGCCCAGACGGTATACCCACAAGTGTTCTTAAAAGTTGTGCAGAGTATTTGTATAAGCCTCTGGCAAATATTTTTAATGCTTCCCTAAAACAGGGTGTCTTCCCATCTTCCTGGAAGGATTCGTTTATCTTGCCACTTTATAAAAATGGAAGTAGGACTAACATCGTAAACTATAGAGGAATTGCGAAGCTTTGTGCTATTGCTAAAGTTTTTGAGGCAATCGTTACGGAAGAACTATCTCACTCTATTACTTCTGCTATTGATCTATCGCAACACGGTTTTTGCAAAGGTAAATCAACTGTATCCAATCTTCTTGAATTCACTACTTATGTGTCTAATGGGTTTAAAAACAATCTTCGAACGGACGTGATTTACACTGATTTCAGCAAGGCATTTGACAAGGTATCTCATTCAACCCTTATATATAAACTTGATCGAATTGGCTTCCCTCCTATTCTTCTCAGCTGGCTTTCTTCTTACTTAGTGGATAGGAAACAAAGAGTAATTTTTAAAAATTGTACCTCCCGGCCAATACATGTCACATCCGGCGTACCTCAGGGCAGCCATATTGGTCCCGTCTTGTTTATTTTATTTATAAATGACCTTCCTAAGGTGTTGAATTACTCGAAATGCTTAATGTACGCTGATGATGTTAAGCTCTTTAAGTACATTAGTACTGCAGAAGATAGGGAGCATTTGCAAGCTGACCTAACCTGCATTTTCGAATGGTGTGAAGCAAATTCCATGTCACTAAATTTGAAAAAGTGTAAATTCATGACCTTCTCTAGAAAATCGTTCTATCCAAATTCGTATATGATATCTGACCACAATGTTGAGCAAGTGACCAATTTCATTGACCTAGGTGTAACTATGGATCCGAAACTAGAATTCAAGTCTCACATAAACTCCTGCGTGATTAGGGCTAGAGGATTGTTGGCTTTTCTTAAGCGCTGGGCCAAGGAGTTCAACGATCCTTATGTCACTAAAGTTCTCTTTACCTCTCTAGTTAGACCGATTTTGGAGTATGCATCTATAGTATGGAATCCTAGCTATCAAATTCATAGTGACAGGCTCGAATCAGTGCAGAAACAGTTCCTGTTATTTGCCCTCAAAAATTTATGTTGGGACTCGTCTAAAAATCTCCCACCCTACAAGGATCGCCTGAAGCTTATAGATTTGCCGACGCTTCAGAGTCGTAGAGAGATGCTTGGTGTTCTTTTTTTAATTAAATTAATGAACGGGATGGTCAGTAGTCCCTTTTTACTGAGTGAGATAAATTTTTGTATTCCTACAAGACCCACGAGACATTTTAAACCTATTGTGTTGAGTATTTGTAAATCAAACTTTGAAATGCATGATGCTTTTCGGTGTTTATGCCAAGATTTTAACAAGCATTATGATTGCATCGACATATCTGAATCGCTTTTTGTAATAAAGAAAACATTGCTCAACAAGTTAACTAAATAAACTAATATCTGCAACCGTGAACGAAAAATTACACAATATCTATGACTGCTTAGTACAATTGTAACGGCTTCGTATATTTCCGCGACCGCGTAGGACAATAGGAGCAGGGATCGGAAACTCGGCCTTTCCGACCTCGCCCAACAGTTCGTCTATAGCGTGGAGCGGAAACTAGGACTTTCCGCCTGCCTCACTTACAAAGTAACGACTACGGGAACATGGATCGGAAGCTCGGCCTTTCCGACCATGATCAACGGCCTGTAAACAGGGCGGAGCCGAAACTAGGTCTTTCCGCCCGCCGCACACAAAAGTAGACTGGAGACAAGGCCTCGCCAGCTACCCAAATTGCTATTGAATATCATTGTTATCTTTACAAGTTAATATTTATAATTATTTCACTGTGTAATGTATCACACATACTTAAATATTCTAAATCTTTTTATCTCAACTGTCTGTAAGAAAACATTTTTCTGTAGACTAAATAAATAAATAAATAAATAAACACATATAAGACTTGCGAGCACACATAACTAGCGCGCTGTGCGGCGCAATTGCGTCAACACCGTAGCCGGAGTTACCGCGCCAACACTAATATATGAAAAGCGCTAGCGCCATTAACACCAAGAAATACATGAGGCGCATACACAATTCGCCTTAATGATTTGAAAAATGACACGTACTTTATTTTTGCTTTTGAGTGGTGACATCGCCAGAAATTTAGTATCTTGAAAGGCATATCAAACAGGTAGTAGCATTAGAGCAAAAACAACATTTGCGTGTATTTCGTTGTTGCTTCTGGTCTCGAAAGTGTCAAAAACTGTTCTGATTTTTTTCTTCGAAATCAAAGCGTGCCACGTAAAGTACAAAAAAAAATAAAAAAAACTGAAATTGAAAAAAAAATTGTAGCAACTTTCTTTCTTAGGAATTTCGTTTGCTTCTCGAAGCATTGATCCATCCTTTGCAAGGCCCAGTAATCAGCATTTGTGCTGCTGAGTTGGGCGAACGTTCCAAAAGCTGCTATTCACTTGTTTTGTAAGGAAAAAGGTTCCACATGCAAATAGATTTTAACAATTTTGAATTTTTGTAAGAAATTAAAAATATTTGACATTTTCGAGACCAAATAATTAAAAGAAAATCAAATCAGATGCTCTACTGATACTACCTGTCTTGGTATCTTGGCAAATTTAAACCTTTAACTCAAAAATGATGAGAATATCGTGTGTCGAATATTACATTCCTAGCAATCAAATTCGGTTGGCAGTACAAGCGTCGCTCTGAGCCGAACATTTAAGAAATAATAGACATGACACCCCTGTATTATGTATGACACTGCTTGACGATGGGTACTGTGGTGACACTCAGATGGCGCCGTGTTCAAATCAGTACACTGCGCTGTTGCGCTGACACCACAAGAGGTACCGGCGTTATCGAGCTAGCGCCATAAAAATTGCGCTACTACCAAGGTGTATTTAACAAGGTGGTGTTAGCCGTATATAAGTAAAAAATTACACTAACAAATTATACGCAGGCATCCGTACTGTCGTTGGTATAAGTTACAACAAACACATCATTTTGACGTAATGCTTTCCACGGCGAAGAACTCAGCTGTCGCCCCAACACCACCTTGTTAAATACACCTTGGCTATTACCCAGGGCTACACATGACTGATGCCGTTCATTTCATTTCTTGTATTGCTTGGAAAAAAACGCGGTGGCCGGGTGAGTTGTGCCCGGATGTAACTATCATTAATAATATAATATTACATAAAAAGAAATGCTTAAGAAAATGCTAACTTACCTGGCAAGCTAGTATTCATCAGCTCCTTGGGAAGCTTTTGCATCAGTTTGACAAGCGCTAGTGCAATAGGCACGCGCAATATCTCCTCCTCCTCGCGCTCAGCACTAAAACGCTTGCGATTCAGTTTGTGCTTATTATCATAGGAGCTCTGCTCTGTGATAGCACGATTAAGCGTGGGTATGAGTATGGTGGTAATGGTTAGCATAACGCGTTTGGCAGCTCCAGCTGGCAACAAAAGTGCTGTACTGAGTACACAAGGGGCGGGCGCAGATGATTGTGAGTCTATGCGCGTTGGCGCAGATTCTACGTCAACGGCGGCCAGCTCAGCAGCTAGCTCGGCTTCCACGCTTTCGTCCTCATTGTCATCTTCTTCCTTCTCATCTCCATCGCAATCCTCCTCGTCGCCGTCAGACGCCTTTCCTACCGATTCGTTCTTAACTGCTTTCTCTACTTTTTTCCCTTCCTCTTCCACTTCCTCGTTCAGCCCTTCGCCAATAAGCTTATTTCGCAACTGTTGCAAGGCTTGCGCATCAGCTTGAGCTTGTGTTAAATCGAAATGGAAGGCATCGAGAATGTGAACCACAATACGCACGCATTGGCGCTGATATTCCTGTGTACTCCGCAACTTGGTGAGATAGTAGCGCAAAAGCGCATGATATTGCTGCCATGGCAGCAGTTGACATACAACGCCCACCGTTTCGATGGCGGCATCTATTAGTGTATGTTTGCTAGCGTGTTTCTCCTGCAGCAAGTAGCGCGTGGCCAAGGGCAATATAAACTCGGTGAGCGTGCGCGTGTAGGGACGGAGCTTGATCGTTTGAGCATGCGCGCAGAATCTCAGCAAAGCCCGTCCATGGCGATGAGTTTGCAGATGCGTAAGATTCTCGAAGAAATCAACCTCAGCATCCTTCGGATCACCGAGTGGCGCTAAGTCTTGCAGTATGGGATGTGTGCTGGGCGCTTGACGCGCCATTTCGCCCAACAAGCGAATACCCTCGTAGCGTACATTGTCGTTCTTGTCACGCAGTAAACGCCGGAGTAAATTGATAGTCACATCGCCAACTAAGTAATCCAAGTTTGGCTTGTCATCAGCGGCGGCTGCGAAACGCAGTGCGAGGCGTGGCAATAGCAAGCGCAAGTGTTCGCTGGCATTGTCGCGCAAGCCCATATCCTTGTCGTATTTGATAAAGTAGACACAGTTGTATATGACGAGTACGCTCAGCTCCAGGTCGACGCCATTGCATTCAGCATCCAAGAGCTGCGCAATTTCTTTGAGTGCAGCCAGCCGCTTGTCGTAGTCGGGCTGTTCTACCCAGCGTTTGTCCCAGGCATTTAGCATGCAAGTCAGGCGTGCGGTACGCTGCAGCCGCGTCGCTAACTCGGTTAGCGCTTCATCTTTGGACTGCATGGCCTGTTTATGACGCTTGCGCGCGATGTCGGTAACAAGCTGGCAGAGAAGTTTGCGCGCGTTCACCTCTTGCGTCTGCTCGAAGAGGGGCGCTAACTTCCGCAAATACATCTCTGGCGTATTCAGTTGTTTGATGAGGTTCGCGAGAGTGGTTATAACTTGTGTTACAACTTCCTCATTGGCGTTTCGCTGTGATTTCGCAATGAGTATGGGCAGCAGCAGTTGCAGCAAACTATCGCATGTATCCGCGTCCTCCACGTGCGCGGTCAGCAGCGACAGTATATTGAGATCCCGCTTATCAATTGCTTTTTTGGCGGCGCGTGTGCTAAAGTTCATGCGCAAGCGCTTTAATAACTCCGGAATGTAGGGTTTAACGATGTGTAGACCGCTAATGCCAGCGCTTTCTCCAAATGTGTTGTCTGACGCCGCGGATGCTAAAAGACGCTCCACAAGCGCCATTATTGGACGGCGTACGGCTGTCTTCGCTTTTTCATTCAACAACAGTGTCACGACGTAATGGAAAATAGTCGGCGACCCCTGCGCCTGCTCAGCGCCATTTGTGCGACGCTGTGCTAAGTAATCGAAGTGCTGCGGCTTCTCTCCCCACTGCAACAACAGGCGCAGCAATGGTGTGGGCGTATGTATTGATTCGTTTGGCAGCTTTTCGATAGCAGGCCAGACGTATACTTCGCTTAAGCAGCGCACCTGGGACGCTTCCCAGTCAAACTCTTCGATGTGCGCAAAGAAATTCACCAAACTTAGAAGCGCATTGTTGCGCACGTTCTTGTAAACTACACTCATCTTAGGGTGAACAAGTGCAAGTTTCTCTGCAGGCATTAGCAAAACCGCATTGCATGCACTCCCCACGAATGTTAACAATTTCAGCATGTAAATATGGAAGTCGCGCTTCATTAGACCGCCGAACTCCTTCCGTATCAACTCCAGTAAATTGACTATGCTTTGTAGCTTTTTGGGCGACCAAACAGCATGCAAATCGAAATCAGACTGTACTTGTGCGGGTATCTGCTCCAGTGTTGCATCCTCTGCAGTATAATTGGAATATTTTCCAAAAGCCATCTCTAGGAACCATAAAATCTCGTCGGTTGTGCACTGCCCTAAAAATCTGAGAATCATGGACTTGCGCGATTGTGCACTCATCGCACGCTGTGTACCTTTTGTGATCATTTTGCCATACAGTATGCGTAGCAATATTTTCATAAGTTCTGGCCGCTCCTCAGCGCTCACTGTTTCATCTAATTTGAAGTTAACCAGCTCATCCTTGAGTTTTACCTCATCGACTAGCGCGTAAAGGTGTTCTTTGTGTGGGGTCAAAGACTTAGATTTATATCTGAGAACACAGTCCAACGCGGCACGTTGTAATTGTGCATTGGGGCCGGCCAGGAGGTCCATATAGAGGGTGTACAATTCTGGTTCGCGATAAAGTGAGCGCGGATTTGGTTGCGCAGCGAAAACACCAAGTTTGCTCTGTAGTGTCTGAAGAATGCTTTTGGCGATGAAACCTTGCTGGTCCTTACGCTGCTTGTTGCGATGGCCGATTTTACGTTGTCGTTCTGGGGAAAGATAGTGTGAAAGAAATTAAATTACGAAAGAAAATATATAAAATAACTGACAACACACCATTTTGCTTAATATCTTCATCTGCTTCGTCATCACTATCCAAAACACCGGCTTCGGCCAACTGTTCATGTCCGTGGCCTGTTGCCGTTTGCGTCAAATCCCAAGTTAGTTCTCGACGCTCGAGACGTGCACGATACTCTTCGTTTACGAACTGCAGGAACAGACCCACAAGATCACGATTTTTCTGCGTTGCCATTTGACCAAATAGGGGCAGGCGCATCCACAGTAAGTTGCGATAATTTAGCAACTGTTGTTGCGTCTGTTTCGGTGGTTGTGCCGCTGGCAGCACCTCATTCAAAACATCGCTGCGCCAGCAGGCTACATTTTCAACCGTGGCTGTGGAGTCTTTTGTCACAGCAATCGTGTAATCAATGCGTTCAGCTGTGAGCTGTAATTGTTGTTTGTAAATGTTCCAAAAATCGGCGAGGCTCATCAGCAAGGCGTACGATTCTATTAATTTTTGCACTGGCTCCCAGACAAATTTGAAGTTGTGATACAACATGCCAAGTAAAAAGCGTAATATATGCTGTTTGTATACATCGCGCAGTGACTCCTCTTTGTCCATGGCGCGATAGAGTTCACCAGCCGGCTCCAACTGCTGCAGATATAACAGTTGCTCACGGTAATTATGCACATTGGGTTCAATGCATTCGGCTTGATAGAATATCTTGTAGGGATGAGCGTTTTTCGTTTGTCGATGAAGTGTTTGTAGACAGTGTGCAGTGAGCAGCCGCACGTCATGTGAATGGGAGCTAAGTAAAGGCGTTAAAAGTTCCGATATATGTAGAACGTCTTCGGAGGGAAGCTTCGCAGTTACTGTTAGCAACTGATCTAGTGCGCCTAGGGCCTGAAGATTACTTGTCGCATGCGGTAGCAAAACTTGTACGGCGCGTTGAAGAAATTCAGGAGTGCTTTTGAATTTCAGATGTATGTGTGTCTCGAGCAAGAGCGAAAATATGGTCAGTTGACATGACAAATTGTCTTGTATACTAAAATCTTCCAAAATTTGGCCCATGGCTGTGTTTAACTTTACTTCTAATGGCTCTTTCTCCAGCGCAACAACATGTGGCAGTAAAATTAGCAACAGTATTTGCTCGAGCAAGCAATTTTCCTTCCCATTCAAGGTGTCTCCACTTAAATCAATTTCAGTAAATTTTTGTTTTATTTTTTCCAGCGTCTGCTGTTGTTTAATGTGCAGCATATACGGCTGCCACGATTCCAGAGTGAATGCATTACCTGCAAGTGGCCGTTTCAGCAATACGACACGGGCCATTAACTCAAACGCCGCCTCATCAAAATGCTGTTCAAAGTTAGCAACGACCGATGGCAATACCAGCAGCTCAAACTGGGCATGCGCAGCGATAAGCAGCACAAATTGTGCATAAATATCGCGTTGCTGCACGCTTAGCGCCTTCTTCATCAGTCTGCTCGTGTCCAGTTGCGTGAGATGAACATTGTTGGCCAATAACACTTTGCTAACTAGCTGCATCAGCAATTTTAATGTTTCTGCTGCATACGCTCTGGAATGCGATTGCATGCAGTAGTCGAGCATTTTTAGTATGGTCGGCACTACAACGTCTAATTCGCATAAATGACGCCCATTTTTATGCTGCGCAGCCATAATGAACAGAGGCAATATATGCGCTAAACGACCACAGGCACCCACACCAGCTAACATTGTATTTTGCGCAACATCACAGAGCTTATTCCAATACAACGACATATTTTGAGGCAAGATAAAGTTGAGTAACTCCTGCACAGACTGTTGCACAATTTCACATAGCAGCTGTAGCTTATCAATTCCCTTTGTGCGCTGTTCATCCACTAGACATTCAAATATGAACTGTAGAAAATCGCCCGCCACTGAGTGAAATTGTCCCTTCACACCGCGCACAATTTCAAAAAGCAAACGTCCACATCCTGCTATGCTGTCCACTTGTTCGCGCGCAACAGTGTGCAGCACAAAGTCAAGAAATTTACGATAATCCCGTACATCTCGAGCAATAAAAGAAAAACATTCCACCGCAAAGTTGGTTACATGCTCTTCGTAGCGCTGCTCATCCAGAAGCGGTAAAATGGCATGGAATATTACACCAATATTCTTTTTCAAATAGGGTTTGAGCGTCTTGAATAAATATGCCAAGCAGACCAAAGTCCATTCTAGCTGTTCTGCGTCTTGTGTGTTCAGTAGACAAATTAGACGATCGAGTACACGTTGAAAATAGGGGTAGAAGTCTTCGCGTAAATCTCGTGCCAAGACATACAGCAATTCCAATAATGGCTGCAGCGCTAAGTTGGTGGCTGTGGACAAACGCTCCAGCAGCAAGTCTATTACAAAATCTTTCTGATGCACTAATTGTGGCAAAGTTACAACCTTCAAGCACCTCCGGCTGAATTGGCCAAACTCGTCTGTTAAGTTTAGTACCATCCATTTCTTCAATGTTTGATGAAAATAGGTCTCGTTTTCTTCCTCAGGCAGTTCTTCGTTCTGATGGCCAATGCGGTATAATGCCAGGCGACGTATATCAATCTCACCCACACGATCGGCGAAAGATTTAAACTACAAATAAATATTGTTTTGTTAAATCATTCATGAGGACAGCTGCAAGCGAGGCAAAAAAGGCTTACCCGAAAGGTGTTGCTGTTTTTAGTTTTCTGTAGTATTTCAGCCATGCCTGGATTTGGTGTACACGTGTTCTTTATACGACAGTTATATACTTTAAAATTAATTTTAAAACTCGTCAATTTCGCGTGGAAAAATAGAGATTAAAAAGCTTAACTCATCTTCTAGCTGGCCAAAAGCTGGTGAACGAAAAATAAGTTCTGACAGATGCAACGCACATGTTGCGGTTCGCGTACGTTCAGTGCTAGTTTGTTGACAACCTAGCGCATGTTCAGTGATAAGAAAGTTACTTGTGTATAACAATTAGTTTGTTCCAGTACTTTTCGAACAAAACCTGTGGAAATGTCAAACTACGATTTTACTCTCTCAAGTGAGAGTAACAGGAGAACATGAACGAAAGACATGGTCAGGGATGCCGTTTGGATCTAAATAGATCCAATTGGATACATTTTTAGACGAATTTTTGCGGGATACTTATTTTTTCCGATCAGTATAAATATGGACACTTTTTTAAATAGGCCAAAATTTTATATATTATATAAAATTTTTTTCGTTCAAAAATCTATTTTCATTAAAGATGATAGAAAGCATTACGTTTTTTAAATGTATTAAAAATCGCTACTTAAGCGTGAAATCAAAGCATTTTAATTTTTGTGAACGAAGCAATGAACATATGAAGAGATCTCACCAAAATAGGTATAAGCGCAATTGTTTTAATTAGCTTAAAACGATGCTGTAAGCAAGATCTTAATATACATATATATAAAATAAATTATACTCTTTCTGTAGTAATCTCTTTCATATCACATATTTTCATTTGTTAATTTAAAAAGAAAGAAGATTTTAATGTAGTTTAAAATACACTTAAAAAAAACTAAATTTGATTTATTTAAGGAAATTTGTATGAATTTTACTGAAAAGACTTTAAATACACTCTAAAAAAATTTTGTTTATTTGCGCATATTAAGAGGGGTAACCAGTTTCCTCTTATAATGCGTACAAATTTGCACGCAGTGTAATAAAATTAAATATTGCCTGTTTACTTTTACATACCAAATATGTCGCAAAGATCAAAATTACATATAAAATATTTAAAATATAGTAATGTTTATTATTAGAAGGAAATGTATTTTTACTTAGAAAATTTTTGCAATTTTAATCATTCTATATATGTGTATTTATGAGTATATTTTAAAGACCTATATTTATACTGATTCTTGTCGAAAAAAATATACTTTTCAGTAGTAATTTTACTTGCTTTTTTAGAGTGTACTTGCTATTTATTATACTTACTTTACAAAATACTTATGCACAAAAAATGTACTTTATAAATTTAAACTACAAATGTTTGATTTTATGAAAAATAAAAATATATATACATGTATTCCAATTCCTTAGGATGGGTTAAATGATGTGTTTTTCTTGAAAATTTTTGGTTTTCTTTCAAATTATGAGATGTATAGGTAAACAAAGAAAATTGGATACAATTGGATACATTTTTGGCTTGGTCAGTGATACATTTTCTTGAGACGGCGCGGCAACACTGGACATGGTTCATGACAGGAGAACAGATGCAGAAGTGTACGGGAACGCAAAAAGCACTTTTTCCAGCAAAAACGTCAGTTGGTTTGTTTACTTGTCATTAGTACAAGACTGATTTGGCTGAAAGATCACTAAATAACTATTAAAATCTATACAATTAATCATGATAAAAATATAGCAAGGTAGAACCGTTCTCTCAATTTGTCGGCCATGATTTTTTTTTTGAAGTTTGCCAACATTTTAAATTCATGTGAAAGTGAAAATAAAAAAAAGAAATTGCTCGAAATTGTTGTTGCTTGAGATTGAAAATGAAAATGTGTGTGTGAGCTTGTGAGTAAATTTAAAAATTAAATTGTTTGGAAACGTCAAGAATTTTAAAAGTGACTCTCAGCGGTTCTACCTTGCAATTAATAATAATTGCATATATATTCGAATTTCATTATTTACTTAAATTTTTTAACAAATGTAAGTTATTTGCTTTCACCGCGTTCTGTTTTTGTACACAAATGCAACTCTACCTATCGTTTGACACTTTTCATGAATTTGCCAGAAGAAAAACTGCGGACTTAAGGCCCGTCCACATACAACTTTGGCGTTGCTTCGGCGCTGGCGTCGCTTTGACAGTAGCGCGAGTATCGCCCCATGAACGAAAGACACAAGATCACGCCTTAAGGAAAGAAAGAAAAAAGTTATTTTCTAGCTGTTGAAATCTCGACGCCATCTTTGTTGTAAGAAGTAAACAACGAAGAGAACAAAAAAAAACGCGTAATTGTTGAACGCATGAATAATCATTTTTATTATGCAAATTCTCCTATAAATCATGTCGTTGTGTTAAATTATTCTTTACCTTATGTGTGCACACGTTGTCACAAGCGAAAATTAAGAAAATTGCAGTAAAAACCCACCACCAAATTGTAAACAACGAACAAATGTAAACAAACGGCTTATGTCAAAATTGCCCTACTTTTTTCATAAGTGCGATTATAACGGGCCACTCTTCTGCTGTCGTGATCTTGTCCTTTTGGTTCATGGTATCGCCCGTGCTTGCTACAATGAACGCGTAGCAGAGAATACTTTGGTCACTAAATTAATATACTAGCGGCAGATAAATCAAAATTTTCAATCAATAATTGCATTAAAAACTATATTTCTTGTCCGCATTTGATTAAAAATGAAAATTAAATCACGTACAAATACAAGTACTAGTAACAATTCGTAACAATTTTTTGATATTGAATGAACCTAACTTTTCTAGTAAAAATTGCAGCGAGAGCGAAAAAGCGAAATATAGTAAAATTGAGAAGTAGAGAAAACTAGGAGGAAAAGGTATTCTAGTAAAAACTATAAACTTAGGGCATTTTTACACTTGCTGATGGTTAAGTTTTTGCACGAAATTTTCCTTTTGATCGGGAATATTTCCCAACGTCATAAAATTAAAAACCTAAATTAGACTTAAATTATGCAATCATATTTTTATTTCACAACTAACAAATGTTTTCATCAAATCTCCCCTAAAACCCTTTGTTAACATTTTAATTTGAAACAATACTGGACTGGGCACACGTGTCCCATCCAGCTTATACTGCCTGACGTATCACGTAATTTTCTTTCGTGTCGTATTCGATCACTGAACGGATATTACGATTCGAACCCTGATTTTCTAACCATTGCAATTTCCTGCTAGTACCAAATTTTACCAACAGGAATTTGCAGCTCTCCCGTTTCGTTACGCTCTCTCTTCAGTGCCCTCTAGCAAAGTTTTTGGGTTATTTTACAAATTTCCAGTAAAAATTGGCAGGTCTTACTAAAATTAGGATTCAGTTTGTTATTATACACACCTATTTACCAACCAACAGCTGTTGCACACGTGTGGTCGCGTTGAGGGCAGAAGTTGGAAAAGCTTACAAAAACGAGTTAATTGAAAAAATTAACTTATCGGGTTATATTACAAAGCAAATTTATCTAAAGCTCAGGTATGGGTGCAACAAGGAATACTGATTTGATAACCACCATTGAGGATGATGCGGAAGTAGAAAATTTTTCTGAAGACTCGGATGCCGAAGTGGATGTAAGTAGGCATTGTTTGGAAATAATTTAAACACAAGTTAACAGCGATATCTTGTCCATAGTATCAACCGACAAAAGTTCGTCGCAAAAAGGAAGCCGAGTTCGAAAAAGGATTTCAGTTTGTATCATCGGTTAAGGAGTACAACCAAGATACCTGGGATGACTTGATGAAATATGTGAAGCGTAAGGCGCGCACGAAGACTGATGACAAAATTGCAGCGCGTATACAAAAACGTGAGGCTGAAGGATATCGACCAGAAGGTGGAGATAGTGATAATGAAGATGAGGTACCTAACTCGATTCAGCAATTATATCCTGTATATCTGTATATATATATATTTTAATATTTTTCTCGTATATGTAGATTCCACTCTCCGACGACGAGCTCAAGCATGATAACTTGCGCCTACGTGAGAAAAAGTTGGCTAAGAGGAAGAAAAAGAAATCGAACGATGCTTCTGACGAAGAAGAGGACAAAGGTGAAAAGATGCAATTTGACGAAGCTATTGAAGGCAATGAAATCATAACATCCTTCTATCAGATGAATTTGTCACGTCCACTGATGCGTGCCATCGGTGTGTTAGGATATATCTATCCAACACCTATACAGTCATCCACAATACCGATCGCATTGCTCGGCCGTGATATCTGCGGTTGTGCGGCTACTGGAACGGGTAAAACGGCAGCGTACATGTTACCTACGTTGGAACGTCTTTTATACAGACCTATGAATAACAAAACCATTACTCGTGTGCTTGTATTAGTACCTACACGTGAGTTGGGCGCACAGGTCTACCAGGTCACAAAACAATTGTGTCAGTTCACCACAATTGATGTGGGATTGGCAATTGGTGGATTGGATGTTAAGGCACAAGAATTGGTACTGCGTCAAAATCCCGATGTGGTAATAGCTACACCTGGCCGTCTTATCGATCATATTAAGAATACACCGAGTTTTAGTTTGGATTCTATAGAGGTAAGTAAAAAAATCAAAAAGCAGTTACTAAAATATTTGCAGATTCCTTTATTTTTGCTCTATTTTTGAACTCAAATTTCGTTTATGATGAACCCTATCCTTGCGCTCTGAAAAGCCTCATGGGCAGCCTCTGTGGAACTCTTTAGTTATGCTTCGTAGGAAGTGTAACCTGAAACGTTCATAAACTTGTCGAAAAAAAAAATATTTTCCGGACGTGCTTTCATAATTAAATTCTTTTCTTATTCTCCTAGGTTCTAATTTTGGATGAAGCAGATCGTATGTTGGATGAATATTTCGCCGAACAAATGAAAGAAATTATCAATTCTTGCGCCAAAACACGACAAACTATGCTCTTCTCGGCCACAATGAGTGAACAAGTAAAAGATTTGGCTGCTGTTTCTCTCAATAAGCCAGTAAAGGTGTTTGTCAATAACAATCAACAAGTGGCCTTCAATCTTCGTCAAGAATTCATACGTATACGCGAAGATAAAGAGGGTGATCGTGAACCCATATTAGCTAGCTTGATTTGTCGTACATTCCACGATCATTGTATGGTATTTGTTCAAACGAAGAAGCAAGCACATCGTCTTCATATACTGCTCGGCTTGCTAGGCGTGCATGCCGGCGAATTGCATGGTAATCTAACTCAACAGCAACGTTTGGAGTCATTGAAGAAATTCAAAGAAGAGCAAATAGATGTTTTAATAGCAACTGATGTCGCGGCTCGTGGTTTGGATATTGTGGGTGTAAAGACGGTTATCAATTTCGTTATGCCCATAACAACTGAACACTACATACATCGTGTCGGTCGTACGGCGCGTGCGGGTCGCGCTGGCATTTCCGTGTCATTGGCCGGTGAAAAAGAGCGCAAGATCGTTAAAGATATCATCAAGAATGCAGAAAACTCTGTGAAGAACCGCATTATACCGCCTGATATAATTGAGAAGTATAGGAAAAGATTAGCCGCACTCGAACCAGAAATACGTAAGTATCCAATGCTTTTATTAGTAACTGTCCTTTGATAATCATAAAATTTTCAGAGAACATTTTGGACGAAGAGCAGGCAGAGCGTCAAATTGCGAAAATGGAGCAGCAACTTTCCAAAACCGAGCGAAAATTACAAGGTACCCAGTCAGAGCAACGGCAATGGTTCCAAACTCGCAAGCAACGCGAAGAGGAAAAGGCGCGTTTAGCGATCAATCCGCCTGAAGAGGAGAAAAAATCTGCTACCACCGCAAATAACAAAGGTGCTAAGCGTAAGCGCACTGAGTACGGTGGGGAGGGCGAAGATGGGCCACCAGTAAAAGAGCTGAGTGCCAAGAAAAAGAAGAAGGAAGAACCTAGGAAGAAATCCCCGGAGCAATTGGCGAAAGAGCGGGTCATAAAAGAGATCGAAAAGGCATCATTGGTACGCGCAAAAATGTCAAAACTGAAAAGCCGCCCTGGTAAACTAAACTCAGTTGCCGATGAGCAGTCTAGGCGACATGTCAGTGACTACGGAAAACTGAAGCCGAAAAAGCGCCCCGGACAGTCGGCATTTACAAACGATTTGACAGACGTTAGTCGTAGTGGAGCGTTGCGTATAAGGTGGGTGTTAGGGAAAGATATTGCGAAAGATATTATTTTATGATTTGATTTTGTATGGACATAAATCTTTCAGATCCGAAGCGAATCGTTATAAGAAGCAAACACAAATAGCCAAAAAGAAGAAAGCTAGCAACGTAAAAATAGTAAACAAAGCAGGAAAAAATAAATATAACAAAGGCAAAAACTTTGGTGGTCCACGATTTACAAAAAAAAATAAAAAATGAGTTAATTTATACTATTCTATTCATGTTTTGTAAATATAAATATTATGTATTCAACTTAAAAAATTCATGTTTTAAGAAAATTGCTTTGTCCCACATTTAAAATATTATGACGGAAAAAATTTGAATATTTACATACATACATACGCGTCCCTGCAAAAATCGTTGGACCATGTAGTCTATTTGTGGTAAATTGGAGTACTTACAAAAGTGTTCCTCTGTCATGCTGTAGCGGACCAACTCGTGTCTCTGCGCCAGCTTGTTGTTTGTTATCCGATCACTGCTCGTGTTTTAATGAAATGTGATTGAAGTTGAGCATTTGAAAGCTCATTTGCATGTCTGACTGTAGCTGAACGTGTAGAGGTGCTCGCTGTTAGTTCTTAGCTCCCAGAATGTTCGGGTTCGAATGCCGTCAGAGGAACATGTAATTTTTAATTTTTGGCTTGGTTTTTATTAATTTCGAAAAAGCATTTGAGAAGTGAAGAACAAAAGCGTGTACAAACGAAAAAATATAACAACAATGCCATTGTTAATATGTTGGAGAAGTTTTGTGCTACTCTGAAGTAATGCAGGGATGGAGTATATGGTCCTGCCCTAGGACATCGCAATGTTATTTGGACCATATTTTTTATATGAATTGTTAAATTTGGAGTACTCCCTGGTCCTTCGGGAGTACTCTTTACACGCATGCATGGAGTAGTCGCGATTTTTGCAGGGGTACGGTGGACAACGAGATTATTTAAACCACGGGCGGGCACTACAGCTTCCAAAGATATTAAGTAATTAAGCTACAAAACTCTGCTCGCTGCCAAATCTTCACAAACACACTACAACCTTCTTCATTTGGGTTACGGTATTTGATGACAGCGCTTGTTGGTACTTCAGCATATAAAGTAAAAAGCAATTGGTGTTCAGCAAATCTGTCCCGCTCAACACAAGGCGCATTGCTGCTCACCACTGTTCAAAACCCATCAATCAAGCAAATTACAAAAAAAAAAACTTGAGAAAATTTCCTACCTTCGAATCAAAATTCCAATTGGCAGCACCGCCAATTAAGTTAATTTCCCAAACAGCTGCTAGCAAAACTTGTTTGTTGACGTTTTTTGTGATTACCTCATTCTGCTAACTTTTCAGTTTTCAAGTCTTACAACGTAAAAGTTGAAAAATTTTTTTCATCAATTGGGTTAATAGCTAGGCGGAAGGAAAAACCTCTTCGCAGTGGCTTTATTTACCCGTGTAAATTTTTTGTTATCTAAATTTTAAGGAAGGAAAGTGAAAAAGCAAGCATTTGTGTCGGCAAGTGGACTATTGTTTGATTGTACTTTGACCACTCGAGGAACTGTGACGTGAGGAGAAACTATGAATGTACGAGTGACCAAGTACACGAAATAAAACAAAGCAGGTAAAAATATAATGTATAAAAAACCATAAATTGCAGGGCCGAGCAAAGTAATTTTTATGTTTTGTAATTTATTACGACTGACTCTGATGATGCTGCCAGTTTGTGCCCCGCAACGGGGCTACCTCTTGATTTTCCACTTTTCATCCCGGAACCATCGCTTCCTACTTTCAACTTAAGTTTGTATGGCTTCCCCACACATTTAAATTAAAATCAAAGGTGAAAGTTTAAAGCGCTGGTGCCGTGACAAAATTTGGAAAACTTAAATTCAGGGTGCATTTATAATTACAGTAATTATTGTGTATAAGAAAGTTGTACATATGTAATACATTTGCTATATATGTATATAAAAGCAAATATATATATATAAGAAAAACGCTTATAAGAAAAACATCTTAAAAAATCTTAAAAGAAAGGACTTTCTAGAACCAAAGTAGTCGATTCCATAATTGTTCCCTCGAAAGTCGGGCTTATCGTCGGATCCAGAATTATATCTCGCCAAGGCATGTCACCCTAGCATCATTCCCAAAAAATTTTTGGGGAATTCATAGAGATTTTCAGTTGAGCATCAGAGCATCAATAATGCAATAATGGTTGTGTCCAGTAATGCATCATGTCAACTGTTGCTGACTTTCATTCCCACGACTGTTACTCCAGCAACACTCTCCAGAAACTCTTTGGAGAATGTGTATGCTGTTACAATAACAACAACTATAATTGATAGAAATGTATTCCGGAACACACCAGATCTGTCCATTATGCGTAGTCTTCATAAAAAAATTAATGCATATAAGAAAGGTTTTCCGTAAAAGTAGTGACTTATATGCAATAAGCATTGTACATACTATATGTATTCGATGTGTTAACTTTTCTTGTTCGATGTCGCCAGCAGCGCCCCATTGGATTGACGCGTGTGAAAAAGCATTGAAGCAAGAGGATTAGTGTGAAGGATACAAAAAACGAATTTTCTGGCGTTTGTACGAGGGATAAAAAAGAGTTGCAGGAGCAAGGAGTGAAGAAAAGGCTCTTTGAAAACCGCTCAAAACAGGTAAACGAACATTGTGTATCAAATACATATTTACCTACTACCTTAAATTTTTGAGAAAACCTTGCACAAAGTATTTCTTTTTATCAACTGCGCTTAACGACACTTGCCCATTATATGTATTTTTAGGTTGTGCTTATCAGTTTGCAGCTGGCACATGCTTATCAGGTTTTATAGTTTTGTTATTACTAGACGCCACTATTCCCACGCGGGGATAGCCCATTTGTTTGCTTTGTAATCAGTCTAAACTAGTAGATAAGAACTCATTCATTATGGCTTTTGTATGATTGTTGATTTATACATATTGCCGCAGAAAGTAATACATTCGATTGGCAGTCCAGATTTATTGTTTTAGTTGTACACGCGGAAATGAAGGAGGTTTACGAAAAAATTTCTACAATACATATCTAACACCTTACGCCACCACATCCTAGTCGCAGTAACTCCTGTTAGACGATTCTTTTAAAGAACACTACCTAAATCTAAGAAACTGATCGTTTTCGATTGGCCAACCATATAATAAGTGGCGAATACAACAGTATCTCCGCTAAATGCGAAGCGCAGATTTAAACGACCCTTAACCAGCAGCTGCATAAAAACAAACGTTTGCCCCGCGCAAGGCAAAGGCAAACTTCCGAGGGTATTTCTGCTATGAGAAACAGATTCTCATAAAAATACAATCGGCTTTCGGAGTCGGCGTAAAACTTGTTTATATCTAAATAAATATGTAAATGAGCCCAAGCGAGCAGAGAAATGGTGAATCGAAGCGGCTTGGTGGACATAACAAGCAGGCATAAGGAGTTAAAACCCCATCAATTATGCACATACATACATCCTCGTCGCTATTTCATCGTCGCTGAAAGCCCAACCTAAATATCAATTAAAGTTAACTGAAACGACTTTATAAATCGCGCCTAAGTGACCTATCAAATGGCCATCATAAAAACGAGCTATGTTACGCGAGGTCAGCCGCCCGCTCCATACCCGCAGGCAGAGTTCTTATTTTCGCCCGAGTTTATGTAGCGGCAGCACTCGCAGACGTGCTTGAAAGCACTTCCCGAGTCAATCTTTTCTTTGTTAAAGTACTTAAAATTCCAATTAGCATAGACTTCCTCTGAATAAGAGAAAATATCCGCCCTTGGCTTTGAACAACTTATCATATAGAGGTTGTAAAGGTCAAAGTGATATTGTGTGCCACTTATGTTTATTTATTTATTTTTAAGAATTTTCAATTAAAATATAGTTCATTCTCAGACAAACCCCATACAAACCCAAGCTTAATAATTTGTAGAAAGCTACAAAAAAGTGCAACAAATTTTCACATAAATATAAAACTTTTTTCTCGCAAGTGCAAGAATTTTTTTGAGTACACAGTTTTTTAGCCCCTTCAATTTTAGTCTGATAATGTGCAAGTTTCAAATGGCTAAAAGTTACCGTTGATTTTTTCGAATTTTTTTCGCCAAACGTGTTGCGGATTTCTTCCATATACAAATAAATTGAGTTAATTCATTATATGAAAGCCAATGAGACAAAAAAAAAAATTTAAAAAAATAAACGGTAATTCGTAGCCACTTCAAATTTACACATTATCAGACTAAAATTGAAGGGGCTAAAAACCTGTGTACTCAAAAAATTCTAACACTTCCGAGAAAAAAGTTTGAAATTTATGTGAAAATTTGTTGCACTTTTTTGTAGCTTTCTACAAATTATTAAGTTTGGGTTTGTATCGGGTGTGTCTGAGAATGCACTATATGTGGCACACAATATCACTTTGAAATGGCGTGCTATAGATATGACCGATACTGAATATATCTGAAAAATAACTCGCAATGAACAAATTGCAAGCGCTTTTGTGAATAAAAAGTATTATCGTAAAAAAAAACATTTCATATCATAAGAATTAGAAATTCTGCATAAAAGTGTTAAAATACCTTGAGAGGTGACACTATTTTGACCTGAGTATTACTTTTTGCAGTTTTTTTCGAGTTTGACACTCAGCGGAAGCCGATTTCTTCACTGCTTCATCATGACAACGCAGTAGTGAAATCAGATGTACATACATTAGACCGTGTCGGTGCCGTCATATTTGAGTTTTCCATATTTATATATGAACTGAATTTAAAGTGGTAGTTATAGTAATTAAAATTAAGTAGAATTTGATAAGTTAGCTGAGTTTACTGGTCGAATTTTACTCTCCATAACACTTTTTTTTCGCGACCCAGTCTAGTGTAGAGCACATTATTCAAAAGTGTATTGATTAAAAATTTTTAATGCCTGATACTACACGTTAAAAGACCTTCCAGCGAAAACTGAAGTCATGCTTTGTTGTAATTTAGAGAAAAAGAACGTCGCATACGTGTACGTTAAAAACATATATTACATCTATGACATCACAAATTTGAAGTCTGCTTTAAAGAGAATTTAAATATTCCAAGTTGAAACTTGAACCCACGAGTTGTCTATAAATAATGGAAGTAATACATACCTTTAATATAGCACATATAACACAAACAATTTTTAGAACTTATACTTAAATTAGTTATATTAACAACTTTAAAAGTTTCATTGAGAAGGTTAAATGATAATTCTATCCTATGTACATGTTCTGGAATGTGTAATTTTTAATCGCATATTTTTGT